TACTTGATTCTAACAACCCAGGCAGTTCCTAATACTGGTCATGGGTGGTTGTCTGCTGGGACAAGTGCATCCCATTTCAGAGCGCCTGGATTCAAGTCCTGGCTCTGCCTCTGATTCCAACCTCCTGCTAATGTGCAGTCGTGGGAGCAGCAGGTGATCACTCAACTACTTGGGGCCGTGCCACCATGTGGGAGATGTAGACTGAATTCCCAGTGCCTAGCATTATCCTTGCCTAGCCCCAGTCATTGTGGGCATTTGAGGGGGTGACCCAGAGAAGGAAGAGTTCTTCTTCTCTCTGTCGTTCAATTAAAATGCAAACAAATAAATCCTAAATATTGATTATTATTTTAAAAAAGAAGCTTTCTAGCTAAATATTTCATAGACTAGTGCTCAACTTGGGTCTGATTTTTTTCTTATGGTTAGACTTGGCATATCAATTTCTGGGAAGCATATTACAGAGGGTAAAGTGTTACTTTCAAACAACATGTCAAGAATAGATATTTCAATGTAATGCATTACTGATGATATTAGCACTGACCACCCATCTGAAGAAGCATTTGTCTGGTTTCTGCCCTCTTGTCACTTCTTAATTTTCCCCAATTTCCATAAAGTCCTCTTCAGTAGAAAGTCTGTATTCCACAGCTGATGGGGAAGTGTCTTCATTAATTATCTGGAATTCTTCTCTATGGGAGTTGTGCCTCTTATTTCTCATTTACTCCTTTATTAAATAATTTAGTTCTATTAGTATGGACCCAACCACTGATATTGCTTTTATGCTCTAGGTGAAAATCCACTACTACATTATTCATTTTGTTGTTCAAATTGTCCCAGCTTTGGCTGTTGAAAGCTCTTTGGTTCCTGGGGACCTTTGGCATGTTTCTGCCATGTTTTTTTTTTGGGAATTTCGCTATTTCCTGGCATTGAATTATGGTTCAGGCTCATAATGTGTTATTTCCTGTGCCAAACCAAAAACAGTCACTTCTCAAGGGATCTCTCATTCTTTTAGTAGAGAGAAGGTTGTTAGAAACCAAGGTCTGAGTGGTTAAGAGTGCTTGTGGCTACTTGCTGTGTCCTTCCCGTATATTTCTTCCTGTAGAAGAACATCTTGGTTGCTTCCATTTTGGGGGAGTTAGGGGTAAATCTGCTATACACATTTATGAGCAGGTTTTTGTGTGGGCATACATTTTCAAATCAGTTCAGTAAATGCCTGTGGTGTGATTACTGAGTCCCACGACAAGCAGATGAGTAGCTAGGAAACAGCCACATCTTACAGCAAGGAGGCAGTGCAGTTCTGCCTTCCTGAATGACGACTCCTATCCTACTAGGCTAATCCATTCTGTATCCTCCTAAGCACTCGCTGTTAGCAGTTTTGGAAAACATTTCAGCCATTCGAATAGTTGTGTGGTGGGTTTTGTGCTTTGGATTTGATTTTAACTCAATCCTTCCAAGCTTAGACAAACAGTACATCTTAAACACGGGTTCTGGTATCACCAACCACATTACAGCCTGGAGCTCATCTTTAACTCACACAAAAGTTAAAACACAGCATACATGTCCACAGGACCTTTGTTGTGGGTATTTTTTCAACCAATAGCTGCTGCCCACATAAAGTTAATTTCAAGAATCCCATTCCCCTACTGCCAGCTCCCAATGCTCTCTCCAGCCATGCCTGCTATGCTTTGAGTCTCTAACCTATTAATCTATTGATGTCTCCATGTCCCTCACATCCTGAATAGCCTCTTTCTTTGCCTAGCTTGCTTCCGTGATTCATCTCTGTGACCACTCATTTGTATTTCTGTCGCTTTGCACACCTTCTCCCCCATCTTTTATTGGAGCACAAATTCCATTCCAGTGGAATTCAACTCTCTTACTGGTTTCTGCCTGTACCCAAACAGCCAGATCCGGGTGGAGAAACCACAAATCCTGCTGTGGACAGAACTTTAAGTGGGCTTTGGTGCTAAGGAGAAGTTTTGCAACATCTCCCTCATCCATTTCATCTTCCTCTTCTCATACTTCCAGCACTTCTTGACCTGCCCTCATTCTAAACTGGTAATAGGTTTTACTTCATTAAGAAAAAAGCTGGGGCCAGTGCTGTGGTGCAGTAAGTTAATGCCCTGTCCTGAAGTGCCAGCATCCCATGTGGGCACCAGTTTAAGACCCAGCTGCTCCACTTCCCATCCAGTTCTCTGCTATGGCCTGGGAAAGCAGTGGAAGATGGCCCAAGCCCTTGGGCCCCTACACCCATGTGGGAGACCCGGAAGAAGCTCCTGACTCCTGGCTTTGGATTGGCGCAGCTCCAGCCATTGCTGCCAAATGGGGAGTGAACCGGCAGATGGAAGATTCTCTCTCTCTCTCTCTCTCTCTCTCTCTCTCTCTTTCTGCCTCTCTTCTCTCTGTGTAACTCTGACTTTCAAATAAATAAATAAATCTTTAAAAGAAAAAAGCTAATGAAAAAGAACTTCCACATCTTTCCACCCCTGTATCTACAAATCAGCCTGTGTTTCCTCTGACAAACATACACTAGTGTTCATTCTACAGGGACGAAAGGGCTCCTTGGTCTCATAGCAGGTGCCACATCCTCCACTTGTACATTTCATTCCATCCTCTCACGCTTCCTTAAAACCAAGTTGTCTATCATCACTCCTTCTTACTCGCTCTGCGTTTTTTGTTTTTTTTTTTTTTTTTTTTTTTTTTGGACAATGAGAGAGAGAGACAGAGAGAAAGGTCTTCCTTTGCCATTGGTTCACCCTCCAATGGCCGCCGCGGCCAGTGCGCTGATCCGAAGGCAGGAGCCAGGTACTTCTCCTGGTCTCCCATGGGATGCAGGGCCCAAGCACTTGGGCCATCCTCCACTGCACTCCCTGGCCACAGCAGAGAGCTGGCCTGGAAGAGGGGCAACCGAGACAGAATCCGGCGCTCCGACCAGGACTAGAACCCGGTGTGCCGGCGCCGCAAGGCGGAGGATTAGCCTAGTGAGCCGCGGCGCCAGCTCGTACTTGCTCTTACACCTCCTTCAGTCCAGTGCATCTCCTGTCACGTTCACAACCACATCCAACTTGATCAACTCAACTCTTATTCCTCAAGGACCACGTTTTGACCAAGCAGCTTTGTTTAGAGATTGACTTATTCCTTCATAAGAGACTTTCTTCACTTGACTCTCGGACCCTTACCCTTGGCTTCTTTCCATCTCACGGGCCTCTCCTTAACCCCCTAGTTACCACAGAATAGTGAATCAACTTGGTGCAACAAATAACTACACCAGCACTTTTAAAATTTAAACAAACAGTTTCTTTTTCACAAGATTTATCTATTCATTTATTTGAAAGGTATGGTGACAGAGAGAGGGAGAGACAGAGGGAGAGAGATCCCATCTGTTGGCCCACTCCCCACGTGGCTGCAATAGCTGTGGCTGAGCCCCAGGAAGGAGTCACAAACCAGGAACTGCATCAGGGTCTCCCACAGTGGTGGCAGGGACTCAGCATTTGAGCCATCGGCTGCTGCTCTCCAAGCACATTAGCAGGGAGCTGCATGGGAAGCATAGTAGCTAGAGTGCAAACCAGCACTCTGATACGGGGTGTGGACATCACCAGCTGCAGTGTAACCTTCTGTACCGCAACATCTACCCATAAGAAAACAGCTCCTTGATATTCCTGACTCTGTCCTGCAAACTTCTACTTAGATGTTTTACTTATTGTGTTGCAAAGGAATGTTTTAGGGAACCTAGGAGTGGGCATTTAGTCTAGCAGCATCTCAGAGAACCTGGGTTCAATTCCCAGCTCTGGCTCCTGAGTCCAAGTTCCTACTAATGCATGCTCCAAGAGACAGCAGGTGAGGGCTCAAGTAATGGGGCTCCTGCCAGCCACAGCAAAGACTCAGTTTGAGTTCCTGGCTCCTGGCTTCATCCCCAGCCTAGTTCCAGCCATTGCAGGCATTTGGAGAGTGAATCAACAGATAGAAGATCTCTGTCTCTCTGCTTGTCAAAAAAAAAACTTTTTTTTTTTTTTTAATTTGACAGGTAGAGTTATAGACAGTGAGAGAAAGAGATAGAAAGGTCTTCCTTAGATTGGTTCACTACCCAAATGGCTGGCGCTGCACTGATCTGAAGCCAGGAGCCGGGTACTTCTTCCTGGTCTCCCATGTGGGTACAGGGCCCAAGCACTTGGGCCATCCTCCATTGCCCTCCTGGGCCACAGCAGAGAGCTAGACTGGAAGAAGAGCAACCGGGACTAGAACCCAGTGCCCATATGGGATGCTGGCGCCGCAGGTGGAGGATTAACCAAGTGAGCCACGGTGCCAGCCCCAAAAAATACCTTTTAAAAAAATTTTCAAGTAATCTAAAGTGAAAATCAAGTTCATGTTCCAAGTTTTTAAAACACAACTTTTCTTGATCAAACTTTAGCATTTACAAAAAGGTACCTTTTGCCAGAAATCTACCACGTTTCAGAGTGTTCACAAGCCTTCTACTGAATCAATTCCAGAATGCTTCTTTTGAACACTTGCTTTGAAGACCAAAAACAACAGCTAGCTTAATTGTATTGCTATTTAAATTAAACAACTGTATCATTTGAATGATTTTAACTTACAAATAGCTGTACTGCTTTTTTGTAATACAAATTTTCCATGAACTTTTTATGTACATTGATTTCAAGAATTTTTTTTGCACCCAGATAAACTTACCTTTTATTCTATCTCCACAACCTTTTGTACCATATATAATAAGTATAATACATGTAACCACACTAACAATAAATTATTAAGATGCTGACATGAAAAGCCCATTAAAGAACTTACTTTATCAAAAATCATCTCTGCATCTAGAACGTCATCAAACATTTTTTTTCAAGACCTGCCCCATCTATATGAGAAACAAATACGTGGGAACCAGTTCACACACTGTTCTGTTGACCTGAACAACCAGTTTTAGTTTATCAGGGAGGTGAGAAAAAGAGAGGACTGGGGAAGAAGGGGACACTCAGGTTTCTAATAGTATTGCTACTCACCATGAGGGAGGCCATTCTTGACATCATTCCTCCCCTCTCCAAAAATCTGGAAGACAACATCAGCCATTCATCCGTTGTCCCCTGTCAACTAGGAAACTTCAAGGAAGGAATTGTTATGATGATGCAAATATCAAGTAATGCAAACTTTCCTCCATAAGAGAAAAAAATTCATTCAATTAAAGAAGGACATGTTTTGCTTAGATTATTACTCAAATGGCTGCGTTATCAAATCTTTTTTAAATTAAAAATCAAAAATTTCAGTAGTTTGGGTTTCAGGTCCGTGCTGTATGCTAGTGCTGACCCTTCTGTCTGTGGGATAAGGTGGTAGGCATGCAAATGAGGGCTTCCAGGACTGAAATCTCCACTTGCAGAAGTGCTGTATTTACTTAGTTTTCAGGATGGGGCCATGTCTGCCATCTGTAGGCATGGGTCTGGGGTACAGACACACTGTCAAACTTCCACAGGAGCTCACTATAACATGCTTCATGTCCGGACGGAAACACCCATGAGCTTCCAGGGGTTTCAAGAGTACGACTCAGTTCCATCCACTTTTAACAGTGAATGACCTTGGTAAGTCACTTGATCACTGTGTATGCTTGGTTAAATAAACGCACATTAAATGAAGGAGATGGAATAGGGCACCCCCAGACCCTTCCACTTTTACAGATTTCCCATAAACTTTAGTTCTCATTTCTTTTAGCTCCCTATATATCTTTATGTTCCACTTGCCAAGAACACACGAGCCATGTATAATCTCGTCTGTGCCATTTAATCCAACAAAATTCCTAATCCTGATAGCTGCATACTTTTGACTGGAAATACAACTCTACGCTTATTATCTTCCTGGCGTTTCACAAGAAGGAAAGCTATTCTTTGAGAAACAGGAACTACCATGTGGCTTTTACACGGGGCAGCATTCAAGGAAAAGTCCATTGTTAGCATTCAGGCTCTAAGAAAGGCCATTTTGTCTTGTAAATCAATAGTTTTTTTTAACCTACCTGTATTGCAGTTGGAACTGGAACCCTACCACACTCTACACTGTTGCTGGGAATGGTCCTTCCATTCACATAAATAATACTCGGCTCTGAAGCCAAACCAAGAACATGCGCGTGGCTTGGTGCATGTGTCCAATCTCAGGGGTCCTCAGAGTACTCCTGAGGACTGGAGGGAAAGGAAGCACTTGAAAACAAATGACACAAATGGCTACACAGTGTAATCTGGAAACCTGACAGTATTTTGAAACTTTTGTTATTTTCCAGATCTGTTGTAACATATTTTCTTTGGGAAAATGAACTATTACATCACAACAAGTACTGAATGTTTAAACTCACTTCACTGGTTGTAGACAGAGAGAAGTACCATGCCACTTCAGTAGAAACTACAAAATAAATGTTAACATCCAAAAATGAAGGCCAAAGTTACCTTTTACTGTTTTTTTTTTTTTTTTTAAATTTAAATTCTTACCAGCTAAGCAACAGGTCTGCAAGGTCTTGTTCTAAGCTTTGGAATCCCCTAAATTATCTGTAATTCACTGGGGATTGGAGATTAGTTCCTGGTTCTTTTTTTTAAAAGACTTATTTATTTATTTGAAAGCCAGAGAGAGAGGCAGAGAGAGAGAGAGAGAGAGAGAGAGAGAGAGTTCTTCCATCCGATGGTTCACTCCCCAATTGGCCGGAAAGCCTGGAACTACGCCGATCCGAAGCCAGGAGCCTCTTTCGGGCTTCCCATGTGGTGCAGGGGCCCAAGGACTTGGGCCATCTTCTGCTGCTTTCCCAGGCCACAGCAGAGAGCTGGATCAGAAGTCGGGCAGCCGGGTCTCAAACTGGTGCCCATATGGGATGTCAGCGCTTCAGGCCAGGGTGTTAATCCACGCACCACAATGCCAGCCCCAATTCCTGGTTCTTAGCTTAAATTTTTCCTAACACTGTTTGGAAAATAAAAAAAAAATAAAGACAATCCGGGAAAGCATAATCATCTCACCATGCTTCCACTTTCCCCTGATTTCTTACTCATATTGTACCTGGGACATCGGAAGAAACGAACTTTGTTTTACACAAGTTTTCAGAACTTGAATTTAGTAAGGGGGAATACGGTCTAAGAACACCATGGACAACCTCTTCCCCCACGTCTTTATTGTCTGTATAAAAAACCACCACAAGCAGACCTGTGCCTCTCTCCCCCCACTCCCAACATCCTTTTGCTGCCAGTTCTTGTCTCTAAAATTCAGCAGCAGTCCCGTTCAAGGTGACATTTAATCACTGTATCCTGATTAAATAAGAGAAAAAATAGGGGGAAAAAAAAAAACCAACAACAGGGACACTGGAGAATGCTGGTTATTACATCAACCCAGGCAGGCCAGGCCCCTGTACCATCTCTTAGGAGCAAGCAGATGCAGGGTTAGGGACGTATTTTCCTGTTTGACGTCATGTTCTGTTTTTCCTGCAGGAAAAACATTCTGCTTCATGCATTTCTTGCTCCTGCAAGAGGGACAAGGAAAAGACGGCTCTGAGGTCAGCCTACACGGAAACAGAAGCAGCGTTCTGAATTGTTGGCATTACTGTCTCTGCTGTGTACACCGGAAAACTCATTTCTGATTTTCAAAATATGGCTTCTTTGACTATATTTGTCCATGTGTATGGGAAGTATGCATCATCCTTATCATGAATCCATGGGGTTAGACTGAAGGAGCAACGGGGAGAAAGGAGAAGGAAGTGAATGAGCAAATACTGACAGGGTGGTTGGCCCTGCGTGTCTCGCCCTGCTTTCTCAGGTGCACATCATGCCCAGCCCCGGCTCCCTGTGTCCTCCCTGGGGCACGTCGCCGGCTCCTCCTCCTCCAGCCTCACAGCTGTGCCACCAGCACCAGCTGTGTACAACTTGCTGGTAAAAGTTCTACCCTCTTGAGACTGGTGCTTGCATTCCTCCCAAAGGGCAGAATGTGTAGTGAGGATAAGCTTGGCTTTGGGATCTCCTGAGCCCCAGACATGCTCTCTGCTCTCAGGAAGTCCACACATGATGTGTGTTTTGTTAGCATGTTTCCAAAGGTAATGTTCTCACTCATGCTGCTTAACCCAGAGCCCTGGTCAAATACAAGTAAGGTTGCACATCCCTGGAAATGGACAGTGATGCTGGGGACAGCAGGAGCTTGCCATGGCATTCCCTACATCGTGGTCTGTGGGCTTAAGTCTCCGACCTTCACTGTTACAAGAACTCCAGTTTCCGTTGGCCTGCTGACCCAGTTTCTTCATCCGCCCAGAGATGCTGCTTCCTGCCATTCCTGAGCAATTATAAGGCCAACAGAATTCAGAAGACTACAGAAAATAAAGTGAAAATGAGCACTGATTTTTTCAAAGTATTTTCAAGATTAAAAGAGCCTAACTCTCACCGTCTCCTAGAATGATCTAGAAAACACCGAGTCTTTCTTCAACATCTTCACCAGTGACAGGAAACCTGAAAAATCCTTAAACAACCTACTTCGGCTTCTGAACTGTTCAATCGGAAAAAAAATGACGGTGATAGCACAGATCTCTCTACAGCACAATTACCTGAGGAACAGTACAGGTTCTTGTGATTAATAACATGATATAATTATTAAGCCATTCTAAATGGAGGTGTGCCTGTCAGTTTCTTTGGCTCACTTGCAGCCAGGAAAAAGCTATAACAAAATTGCCAGTCGTTGGATCAGGATAGTGGCAGCTGATTTTAAGGCATGACCAAAGCAGTGCCAGTGAAAATTGGGCTTCAGGAACCATTCAGTGTGCACTGTTGGGAGATGTATTAGTATTATCTCGGGGATGCCAGGGTCCACCATGCTCCATGTTTGAGTGTTTGAGGTTTCACAAGAGAGACAGCACTCCAGGATTTGACCCTAACCACTAGTAGGAAACTACATCATGAGAAAAGAACTATAAAGCATAAACGATACAAGAAACTTACCTGTAGAGAAGCTGAGTTACAGTGAAATTCCCTAAGGCAAATGTTTTGATTTCAGATAAGATATACCTCTGTCATTATAATTTTTCCTATTGAAATGAAAGCTTAATATTTTTTACCTTGACAGTGAATAATATCATGACTTGAAATTCAAATTCGGTGACTCAAGTCACTGCTTGGGAATGATGGGTCTAGAACACAGTCTGTGTATCCTTAGGGTCTTTTCAATATTTCAAGAATGTCTAGCCAAAACCTCCTCCTGATCAGCATATACATTTTCAGTTGGTTTCATTTTCAATTAAGGCTGATTAGAAGTTATGATTGGCTATTAAGTATCTGATGTAAAGGGGAATAGGAACTAATTATTATTTTAAAAATCTGCTTGCTTGCTTTACAAAATCTTTGCTTACATCTATCTATGGGGTAAAAATGACTAATTAAATATAACTTAAACTGAAAAACAGCTTGAGGATGCTACTTTGTCTTCATATAAAATAAGAGGGAATTCATGTATCAAAAATCATGATCTAACTTTATAATAATAATACTAGGAAGATGTTTAGACAATGACAGCTAGCAACCATACTAAATGCTCCAGCAGAATATCACTGATTTTCCTTTTTCCTTCTCTTTCTTCCTCTGTCTCTGGCTGTCTCTCACACACACTCGAGTGTCTGAGTATCTATATACAAACCCACTCATAGAAAGCTGACTGCACCACTAACTGTGCCAACCCAGTGCCACGGCCTCACACCCAGGAACAAGCAGGCAGGTGCAGCACAGGCAGTGTGAAGGCCCTGACAGGACATGCCTGTTCCCTCAGCACTGTGTGCACTGGGGAGCTGTGCAGATGGAATGCACCCTCACAGAAGGAAAGGAGGGACTACATCCACTGCTCTGCCAATGAGATGTGCCTGGACTGCCCAGCATACAGCAAGCCACAGTGAACTGCTCCAGAGACATAATTAGGAACAAGGAATACGTTTGAAGGATGTGGTAAGTTGAAACCCAAACGCATTTCAATTCAACAAAGCGTTCGTTCATGGAATTCACTAACATAGATTCACTAACAGGGTGGCTTAAAATGCCTCAGAGAGAGAGAGAGAGAGACCTTCCATCTGCTGGTTCACTCCCCAAATGACCGCAGCAGCCACGGCTGGCCAGCCTGAAGCCCAGGGCCAGGAGTTTCACCCAGGACTCCCATGTGGGTGCAGGGACCCAAGTACCTGGGCCATCTTCCACTGCTTTCTCAGGAGCATTAGTGGGGACCTGAATCAGAAGTGGAGGAGCTGGGTCTAGAACTGGCACCCACATGGGATGTTGGTGTCACATGTGGCAGCTCTACCCACTGCAACACAATGCCAGCCTCCATTATAGTATATTTATAACCAACTTACATAGCTTCGAATATGTAAACAACAACAAAGTACCATTTATTAGTATATGCTCATTTCAAAAGTTCAGCTTTGCAGCCACAATTACTATCTAAAGTACTAAAATCATGATATTAGAAAGATTTTATCTGAGGATTTCTATTCTATTCTCTTTAAAGCTTCAGTTTTAAGAAATGAGATTTAATGCAGATGTTTATGCAAATCTATGAAGCACCTCTGCAGAGAATAATTTCAAAAGCACTGATTGAGTGCTCAGAATACTGTAATAACCTGAGCACTAATGAAAAATTCTTAATACCACATACCCCAGTCATAACATACCTATAATTTAAAAATAGGTCATATATCCTTTCTTCCAACTCGAGATTACTCTATGCTAAGAATGAAAACCTATTCCCATCAATGTTTCTTGAAGACTGGGTAAGACTAGCTAGTGGTCACCTGAACACACTAAGAGGAGAGAGAAATAAACTCATTAGTTCAAGTTCACGCCCACATCGCTATTCTAGGTTGGCACACTATGTGCAGCTTGGATAAAAAAGGTGAGTTGGATCAACAATACACTATAGTCTGGGAATCAGAGCTATAAAGCCTAGAAAGAGGCTGCCACTTTTCCCAGAACACCAAGAACATAAGAGGACTCACGTCTCTTCCTAGAGCCAGAGTCCTGCCAGGACAAGGCAGGTTGGAAGTGCACTGTCACAAAGCAGAGGCATCCCAAGTGAGGCTGCACCCGAGTGCAGCCCAACAGCAGGCTGAAGTGCACAAACTCCGGCAGCTGGACCCAGCGTCCCTGCCTGAATCCCGCGCCATTCTCGCAACTCCCTTTCTTAGTTCTCGCACACCCATGTCCCCACCGTGAACCCTACACCACAGCCAGCTTGAAAAGGCATTTTCTGACGAGATAGAGGGTCTGTCTTATGGACGATAGCCTCCATCATACTCCACTGTGGGGATCCTTGCTCCTAACTGAATGTTTGAATTAAAAGACAGGTCTACTCTGCTCTTCAAAAAACTCATGCCATGCTTCATTGGAAACATGTGTTGGTC